TGATCTGGGACAGGCAGGCACAGGGGTGGGAACGAGACTGGGATGTGGCTGACACTGGGACAGAGCCACCAGCACATGTGGGGCACTGGGAGCGCTTGGAGGGGGCAGATGTGGGTCTGGGGGCACAGCCCCATCCCTGGTGCTGCTCCCTGAGCCAGATGAAGTCTGGGCAGAACCGTGGGCATTAGGGCACATTCGTGGCTGAGATGGAAATTTGGGAAGTTCGGGAGGTTTGGAAAGTGGAGCTGTAAATCCCATCCAGCAGGTCGGGACTGTGCTGGACACACCCACGAAGAATAGAAAATATTGCCCCCCTCTCCTCTGCATTTGTTACACTTGTTTTTCTTCTCACCTGGGAATGTTATTACCCTTTGTATTTGAATTTTGGAGCAATAAAAGAGGTGAGGGTGGGATTTTTTTAACGATGTGTCGGGTGTTTTTGCCACGGTGAGCAAGGAAGGAGCACGAGGGGGCCCTGAGCTGTGACAGCTTCAGTGGAACGGGATTTTGGGGAGATAATAAATGAGGTTTGCCCCATGAGACGGGTACCCCAACCCTAAATCAGATTTTGGGGCTGTTTTTCTGTGCATTTGGGTAGATATTTCCAGCCTGAAGCTGACTTCTCACTTTGTATTTAATTATTCAAACAGAAATATTACTTTGGAATATTGCAGAACTATTGCAGATGTTCCACTGATCTTCCTCTTGGGCTATACATGATAATAATTATTGTTAGTATTTTAAATTATTGCCATTCTTGCCCTGGCTTCACACCTGCTGCCAGGTAAATCCCTGGTTTCAGGAGCCTGTGGTGCCAGCACTGGGATTGCAGCAGCTCTGGGCTGGGAAAGGCCAAGTGCCCACAGCAGTGAGCCACGTGAGCCAGAGGTTTTCATGCAAAAACTCCACTTTTTTGTGAAATTAGTGGGGGAGACTCGCTCAGTGACGCTCATGAGACAGAAAAAAACATGAAATGATGCAGCAGAGCCTCTACTCCATGTAGTAAATCACCAGTACTCCTGCAAAGGGAGTATCCAAACCCTGCACTGCACTCCCAGGAATCACCATCGCTCCAGGTGCTCGCTCCTGAAGGATTTCTGGGGTTCCCTCCTGTCACTGCACACAGTGACAGATTCTCCACATACCTCCAGAGGCCTGTCCTCAGGTATTTAGGGAAGGGATGTTCCTCCCAGGGGACTCACTAAAACCCAGCTCAGTCTTTAGGAGCAGCCCTGGCAGCCAGAGTCACTTTTGTGAAGTCTCTGCCTGGACTTTATCATTTGCAGATTTTCTTAAAAGCTATTTTTCCATTAATTATCCCCCATTAGCAAACATCTTGCCTCGCCTGGTTTGCTTCTGTACTAAGATTAAGCAGCAAAAAGGATTAAAAAATGTCATTATGAAAGCCTGAGATGTTAAAGCACTAAATATATATAGCTGGAAAAGGCCTTTCCTTCTAAAGAAATTAAATATCACTTCCACAGAGCTTTCTCATGCTGCCGTGGTAATTTGACATTTGATAAAGTCGGAGCCACTCGCCAAGCCCTGACCCCTCTTAAAGTCTGGGGAAATATTTGGTGTTGAAAGCAACTCTGATGATCTATCGGCCTTTCATCTTTTTAATATGGCAGGACAAGTTCCAAATGATCAAATTATACGGAGTGACTTGCACCTACCAAGTCCAACATCTCGCTGAGAGAGCCTCTGCCATCAGTGCTGTGAGCAGTTTGGAATTTGCTAAAGGAAAGCTGTGGAGGAAGCCGTAACTAACCTTCTTATTCCAGCCCAAGAACTCACAAAATAGGTTTTTTGCCTTTTGTCTTTCAGGACAGAAGGCTGGGAATGACACTTCTTCGTTCCAAGCCATCCCGTGCAAGGGAAGAGCTCGGGGGAAGCTCAGTCTGAGCAATTTGGGAAGGCCCCAAATCTAAATTTGGGATATTATTCAGGAACATCTACAGAACTCCTGCTAAAAGCTGTTCTCCCTCCTCCCCAAAAGGGGAAAACACTGAACTGATGAGCTACAGAATATAAAGAATTTCTGAGCCAAGAGCTCTTTCTCTGTGAGTGACTCTTTGCAAATTCAGGCTTTCACTGGTCAATAGAAAACGCTGACAAATCCCAACACGTCATGGAACCACCACCAAATGTCATCAAGCAAAAATAGTCTTTATTCAAATTTCATGGAAACAGGAATCACTGTACTTTGCAAGACAGGGAAAAATAAAATAAAAAAATTTAATATAAAACAAGGATATTGTCACAATACCAGAATATGGAACTATACTTCTTTTCCCTATAGATTACTGCAAGTACCTCTATTTTTTTTTTCCTTTTGACTGTGCTATTCACAACTTTGTAAGTCCAAAAAATATGGAACAAAAGTAGTATGAAACTTAAGACTTAGCACTTCCACTAAATGGCAGACATCAAAGGGCATCAATTCGAGGGCAAAGACTGCTGAAGTTGTCATACCTACCATCAGTCCTCACTGCAATCCCATAAACCCACCAGGGCGCAGTGCTCGTTCCCTGCAAGGCTCTTTCTGGAAAACAGGGCAATGTGGGGGCTCTAGGAAGAGTTTTATTTAAAGAGAACCTCTCTGTTGGGTAGAAAAGGAGCGGAGCAGCCTCACCCAGGGAGCAGTGCAGGGAGGGAGCGCTGCAGTCACTGACAGACGGACCATCGGGGTTGTTAAAAATATACAGCATCGACAGGGTTTCTACTCCAATCACTTGGTTACAGCTACTAAACATGTACAAAAGACTTCTCCAGCCATTCCAAGTGGGGCTGCAGCAAGGTTAGGATCTGGAGCGGGACCTCGACCGTGACCGGGAGCGGGACCTAGAGGCTGACCTAGACCTGGACTTGGACCGGGACCTCGGCTTTGAAACAGATTTAGACCTGGAACGAGAATCTGATTGGACATTTGGTTTGGACTTGGAAATGGACCTAGACCTGGAGCGGGACACCGCATCCTCCCCCTCGCCTTTGGCCTCCTTCTTGTCAGACTCGCCTTTGGGATGCTCCTTTTCCTTGGAGCCTGACCTGGACCGCTCGTGGCTGTCCTTCCTTCTCTTCTTGCTGCTGGCTTTGTCTCTCTTGCTGCGCCTCCTGCTCTTCTCACTCTTGCTGCGGCTCCTGCTTCTACTTCTGCTGTCATCCCTGCTCCTCTTCCTACTTTTCCTTTTATCCTTGCTGTGGCTCCTGCTCCTACTCTCATCCCTGCTCTTGCTCCTGCTTCTAGCCTTGCTAATGCTCTTCTCCCTGTCTTTGCTTCTACTCTTCTCCTTGCTCCTGCTCCTCATGCTCTCCCTCGCCTCTCCCCTGTCCTTACTCCCACTCCTGCTCCTGCTCTTTTCCTTGCTGGGGCTCCTGCTCTTGGCTTTCTCCTCGCTGTTGTGGAGAGCGCCCTCAGCTTTATCCTTGCTTTTGTTCCGGGATTTCTCTGCACTCCTGCTGCGGCTCCTACTTTTATCCTCCTTACTCGGAGTCCTGCTTTTCTCTTTTTGGCCTCTGCTACGGCTCTTGCTTCGACTACGGCTCTTGCTTCTGGAACGGGACACAGACCTGGAAATGCAAAGGCAACAGACAGTTGTGGGGTTGAGCAGCACTGAAACCGTGCAGAGAATGGGAGGGAAAAGAAAAACAAACAGTGCTCCTGCTGCAGATTTAGGATGATGCTTCTCATTTAAGTGGGAGTCCCCAGTTCTCCCGGGACAAAGACATACCTGGATCTGGATCTGCTCTTGGAGCGGCTGCTGCTGGCACTGCGGCTCCTGCTCTTATGGGAGTGTCTGCTTCGAGAGCGAGACCTGGAACACAAGGAAGCAGCTCCGTGTTAGCTTGTGAGCCCTGGGGGAAAATCCCCAGGGCTTAGAGCACCTTTCAGAGAGTTACACAACAGTCACAAACTCAGAGCACCCTTCTCCCACCTCTCCTCCCCGCTGCCATGTCTGGCAGTGAGCAGGGTGCTGATCTGGAAGAAAATATGCCAGTTTATTTAAGGGATGATCACCTTCCCAGTCAAATCACAGTTTGAATGTGGTGAGACACTGGGATAAAGCTTTGACTTTAGGCTTCCATTTCATAACCAAGTTCTTCTAGGAACAAGTAAAGGTTTGCCTGAGTTTTCTTGTGACAAGTTCTACCCCAGAATGGAAAGGGAAGAACACTTGGTGCTGCTGAAGCAGCTCTTGGTCAGACAAGGAAAGCAGCAAATCTCTGAGGAACAGCGAACAGGTGGAGGTTTCCAAGCTGAGAAAGAACTGTTAGTCCTGGTGCTTGGAGCAGAACAGAGTGTTCAGAGCTGAAGTGTTAAAAGCACCTTCTGTTCCATTCTGTGCTCAGCTCCACCGGCCACCAGCTGCTCCTGCCAGGCACTGAGGACTGAGATGCTGGGGAGGACAGTCACAGGTGTTCAGAGAGCAGGTCCACACATCCCCCACGGGAGACACCTCTGAATGAGCCCTCACTGCCCTTGCTTATTCTCAAAAACTAGATTTATTGTGAACTCTGAACACTTCCAAGGTGGTTTGGAACCCAAAAGCCTCCTCCTGATACACATTATCGACGTACCTTGAATGGCTTCGGCTTCTGGAGTAGGAGCGGCGCCGTCTCGATCCAGGTCTGTCTTCCACTAATCTAATCTTTCTGCCATTTACTTCTGTCCCGTCCAGCTTTTCAAGGGCTCTTTTCATGTCAGAATAGGATTTGAACTCAATCACACCTTCATTTTTCCTTCCTTTGTGTGCATCTGCATATGTCACCTCCCCTGCCTGACGCATATAATCCTAGGGGAAGAGGACAGAATCACCATCGCCTCGAATCCAGAGCCAGGCTTCCAGGCTCATCTCTGAAACGATGCTCCCTGAGCCTCTTCTATTCACTGGGATGTCAGCAAGGCTTTGAACCAAACAGCATTTGCAGTGCCAAATAACATGCTCTGATTTCACAGAGTGGGTGTCATTAGAACCAGGGTGGGGCTGGCAGTTTTGAGCCGAACGATAATTGAAGGTCTCCCATCTCCAGTCTAATATCAAATATGCTCTGGACTCTAAGTCTCAAATTACAGAAGTGATTAAAGAAATAAAATGCTCACTCTCTAAATCATGTTTCCAAATGTAATTGGGAAAGGGGATAAAGGTAGAATATGAAGAGGCAAGAAGCCCATAGGCAAGCAAACCTCCCTTTGTCCTCCACCTCGGCAACCCAGCTCATTCTGCTGGAAGAATCCCCACAGAAGTCAAAGCTCAATCCATTTTCCCACTTCATGCTTCCCAGTTTCTCTGTTTCAATTCCTAACCCCCTCTGTTTATCAGGGAGGGCCATTCTGCCCCACTTCAATCAAGCCACCAGGCCAGGCCATCCTTCACTCCTGTGGAATTTTGGCTGCAGTGGAAACACGGCACAGAGCTCTGGTTTGGTCTGTTTTCAGCCCAGCTTCTCCCAACTTAAGTACACTAAAATGAAAGCTATTCCCAAAAAAGCAGCAATGCATCCACTGGAGGATTAATCATGCCATGCTCTACTTACAATTTTGAATACCAGAAGCAAAGACAAGCTACTGATGAAGCATTAACAACAAAGACATTGGCAGCATCTCCATACATACCTGAACTAGTGTTACATTCAATTACAGACCAGTTTCTACTACGTCAAAGTTTGTTTAGAACAAATTTTACACATCCTTAAAAGAGAACCATAAAAGAAAGTGTTCCTGTAAGAACAAGTGGGTTTAACCATTGCTGCTCAGGTTGATAAGGAAACACTATTGAAATCCTGCTCCCTGTCCTGCTCCCTGAGTCCATGAGGGGGATAATCACAAGTCAACACGTCACCTCCAGCGCACTCAGAGGCACCACGGGCTCCACAGTGTCACCCAACACTTCCACTGCTGAGAATCACCCTCCACTCCTTTGCACTTCAGAAATAACAGCTTCTGGCAGATGTTTTGCTTGATTGCTCCTTCTGGAAGCATCCTTTCCCTGAACCTTTCCTTCAAACAGCTTTAAATGGTGTGGAAATGGCTAACAGAGCCTGTGCAGGAATGATGCTATTGGTTCAAACAGCTCTAGCACCTTACAAGTTGATGGGTTAAATCCAAAGTGACAAGGGCAAACTCCTCCATCTCTACTGAATCCTACCCCTGGTGTGATTCAAGCCTGTTTTGACAGGGTTTAAGAGAAGATAAACCACAGCTGTACGTGATGTTAATGACAGAAGTTATTCTCCCCCTTTCCAGTGCCACCAAGCCTGCAGGTGCAGCTCCCAACCTCTCATTAATGCTTTCACATATGCAAATATGCTGCTGTATCGATTTAAGGTGTGTGTTACTCCCCAGATCTCCTGCTATGCACAGGAGCACGCTGAGGGGCTGGGGAGCTGGGAGCAAAGCACAGGTGTTGGGCACTTTGCCTCGCTGAAGCTTTTCCCCTTTGTGCTCTTGAACAGAGAGAGAGGGTGAGGAAAGGGCCCCATACCTTCAGATCCTGCCAACTGCAGCGGCTTGACAAATTTTCCACAATCAATCTGTATTCTGTACGGGTCGGGGGACCGTACTTATCTCTTCCGCTTCTTCTATAACCATATCCACCTTTAGGAGGTGACAGACACAACTTCAACCAGGGAAAAGGAGCCTCCTCGCCCCCCCACAACGCCTGTCCTGCCCCCCTGCTCCCCAAGGCAG